GGTTGCGTTGTTGTAGGTGATGCTGAAGGAGCGTTGGGAAAGGTAGGAGTAGAACCAGGAGAGAGCAGCGTCCTTGATGCCAAGGAAGTGCAGTTTGGCAAGGAGGAGAGGGTGGTCAACAGTGTCGAAGGCCGCGGAGAGGTTGAGGAGCAGGAGGATAGTGCAGGCTTGTCAACTCCGCTGAATCCTTAGAGCAGTGATGTCATCTTTCTGGTGTCCAAAGCTCTAACAAGTTAATGCCCACCAGCTGCACAAATGGACACATTGGCTGGAACATTGCAATCATGACGGCTTAGAAATAAATGAAAAACAAGTATTTACTTTGAAATTTATTACAAACTGTATGCAGCAACAATAAGAGCAGTGAGGAGATAGAAACATTTAACAGGGGGTTATTGCACAGCCTTTCCTTCTACTTTAAGTCTAGTTCAATCAATCAGGGGGTGAAAGACAGGGATGGGACTAGTGGGAGACTTCTGAATGGGGTCCTCAACCAATCATAGCATACAGTTCCTTCTGTCCAAAGCATGGCATACAAAATACAAGCATGATCGACCTGTGATGTAGGCTGTCACTGGAGTCTCAGGGAGTGAGTTAGGTGGACTTGCGGCATACTCTTGGGATCTGTGCCCCCCTATAGGCAGCCCAGAATGTATTAATAAAAGTCAGACCACAATAGATCTGATAGCTTTAAATTATCTATCATTAAAAAAGCAATCATTGACACAGCAAAGAGAAAAAGAAATGTAATATTCGGCCAGGATTGATGAAATCTGCCCTTATGAAAAAGATTGGTAACTACCTAGAGCTGTTCCTGCTTGCTTGTATCATAATTTATTTGCTATATGCATATTGGTGATGTAATTCTCCATTTTCTAAGTAACCAAAGGAATTATGAAACATTTGCAGATATCTTACAGAATGCTGTAAAATGTTCTTATATTGTCCATTTATTGAAGAAAATGCTTGGATCTATCACAACTTAGTCCTCATGCACATTGGGTGTTTTAAAAACGCTGGTAGTGTTAGTGTTAGCTGTATAAGTCGTGTTAAAAACACAAGTTTTTTAGTGTTTTTGCATTATCGTTTAGCCGCGTCTTTTAAAAAAAAAACCCAAAACATTTTGACTAAAAGCTCAAAAATGCTGGTTTAGAGCGTTTTTACAGCTAGAAACCCACTAGTTCTGGGGGTTTTTTTCCAGCCAAAAAACGCTGATTAAAGCTTATGTGTGCATTGACACATAGGATAACATGCTGGGGAGTTTACTAGCTGTAGAAAAAAATGCTAAAAGCAGCTGTAAAAATGTCCAGTGTGCATGAGGCCTTAAAGTTGTGTTGTATATAGCCATTTTCAATGTAGTATAATGTCTGTGAAAACAGCCATCCATAAAAGAATATACCATGTTTGCGGCTCCTGTTTTTGCAAATTTACTACAGCCACAGAACAACTGTTTCAGTGTAGGAAGGCAAGGACATTTTTTTAGATAATACATGCACCCAAGTACTAAAAACTCATAGCGGCTTTAACATGTTAATGTAATTTTAATAACTGTCTTTATTTAAGTAGTTTTTCACAATAAGAAAAGAAAAATACAGTAATTGTCAAATATAAAGGACAACAATCAAACAATACATCTCAACATAAAGAATGATTTAGGTTGCATAGACTAATCAGAGTGCTGTCAGGTAAAAGTACAATTGGTAATATAGACCTGACAGATGTAAATAATATTAGGTTGTGAAGCCTAGGGGTACTTGCACAGTTTAATAGTGTATGAACATCAGGCATTCCTGGCATAAAAAACACAAGGATGGGCTACACAGTATAGCACCTGCACTGATTTTGCATATTTGTGTGTACACATACACACACGTAAAAATTTCTAGCCTTATTTTAATCAAAGAGTGTGGTATACATGTGTGTAGAAATACTGACTTTTTTTTTTTTTACTGATCTATACACAGTGCATGTTTATGCACTTTGCATACTAGCAGGTTGAAAACAATGGTCTGCATTTAAATCAGTTAAAAGAAAAAAAAAACTGTACGCCTACAAACACTGCATTGTTAAGCAGCAGTGTGCAAGAAGGTATAAAAAAGCTAAGATAAAGGTATGAGAGCAAAATACCACAGTCACCAATAACCATTATAGTAGAGGAGATGCATTCCTTTTGATTTTAGCATATGAAAACAATTAACGTAAGTTGGGAAAACTTCTTGCTATAGTTGTCCAAAACAGTAGAACATTAGGAATAAAAGTGAAAAAGAGAGAAAGAAGAAGATGTATGGGTAGGGAGTAAAGGAGTCATGGAAGGTAAGGAAAGGGAACTAAGTAATCAATGTCACTTTTCCACCATTGGGAAATCTGAGCCCTGCCCACGCATTCCTCCAGATCTGAAGATATTCCTAGGAAGATTGCTTAAAGAAGGGATGCTCAACCTGAGCCCTCTGAGGTGGCCTGCGACCTCATGATCTGGGATGATGGGTTGGCAGACCCAGATCACGATCAACACGTTGCCGACCTGCCATCCCAAAGCATCAGACTGCATGGAGCCAGTGCTGGCAGGGGAGGAAGCAAGCAGCCACGGAGGGGGCAGGAGCCGCATAAGCTGATGCTTCCTTTATAGTGCTGACTCCTGTCCCAGGAGCCTGGGACCTCTGTAGCAGCATGGAAAGAGAAGTCAGCAGAAGCTGGAAGAGGAATATGGTAGTGTATCAAATATCACATATGCTGTGCTTTTTCAATGGTCATATTAGCACCTATAAAAGGGTTAACAACTATTAGGCTACCTTCACACTGAACCACGGGTGCAGCACAGTCCCGCGGGTTAGCTGCATTGAGCCATAGACCTCTATCGTATCCTGTGAGTTTGGTGAACTTTCTACACCAAAACTCCTGAATGCCACATGGTGACTTTGCCATAATGGTTCTTGTTGAAGTACTTCCTGCTAATAGTATGACAACACTCTGTTCCTGTCTCCCAGTTGTGCTCCTGTGTTGTTACCCTGTCACACAGGCTTTCAATACAGACAAGTGGCTATTTTAACACACATTATGCAGGCATTGTCAACTGATGTCACCAGGGAAAAACTGGACAGGGGGGCAGTTGCCCCTGGGCCAGTATTATTAAGAAATGTTGGGCTTGTGGCCCTAACATAGATACTTTATCATTTAGACTTCAGTCCGAAAGGGGCAACCATTGGTGACTTATGCTGGGCATTATATAGCTACTGGCTCAGCATTCAGAAGTGTTATTGCAGCGTCTGCCAAAGAGAAGTCATCCATTATTGACTTATTTTATAATGCTAGGATCCAGCTGATGCTGGAAGATGTGAAGGTGTGCCATAATAAAACCATGTCCTTTAGGAACACCTTTCTCCATGCCCAGTAATCAATGAGCACCATAACATTTTTTAAATTGCATACTTTCTTTAGCCCAAGGGAATCTGCCCTAAATGGCTAGTTGGTTGTGTTCGGCCATCCCCAGACAAAGGTTCCCAGTCTTCCCCTGGCTGTTACCATTGGAAAAGATGCCCCGAGCATTGCCATTCGGCCTTTAGAGAAGTGAATGCATAGGTAGATAGGAAGAGGACACATAAAAGTTGAACTCAGAAGTATTAAGATGCAACAAAATATGGGAAAAAAGTGAAAATAAGTTTTTTGGTTTTTAAGAAAAGGTCAGTTTTTTATGAATCACAGTGGTTAAGCAAACTTAACATCATTTAGTTTGGGTTTACATCTACTTTATACACAGGTTTCCTAGCATGAAGTTCCACAAGCATGGATCAAAATGGCCAATAGTTACGGGAAATTAAGTTAGTAAGCAAATATAAGCTAGATCACTTTCATTTCTTTTTTACATTTCTTTTTTTCATATATTTCCATGTCATGAAGATTCTCATCCTTCTTATAGGCTGCACTCTTTACCAGCTGATTATATTGATTTTCCCCAAAGTAAGCCAGTATCTGTGGGCATCCCCTCCTTCTTCGCAGAGTTAATATGTGCATTCTGCATGGTTTAAAGAATGATCTTTTGTGTGTAATATTATGCAAAACCAGACTACCAGCATGTGAAGTCTGTAAGTCATTTAACACACTAAAGCTGGCCATACACGGGTCGAATTCCGAAAGAATTTTCTTTTGAAAATCTTTTTAAGAATTTTCGTTTGAATTTCACACCATTAGTGGGCCACAGAAAACATCCAATTTTTGTGCAATCATTGAATTTGAGTGGTCTGGCACATTGGAAATTTTTTGAAAAACGAATTAATTTCTAATCAATGATGGGAGAAACAAGCATGAGCTGTGACCTGGAAAGAAAAGAAAATTCTTGGCCATGAAAATTCTTTTCTGTAGCAAGATGTGAAATGAAGGCTTGGTTGGTCAAATTTCAAAATCAATGGTGGCACCAACGGATTACAAAATGCACGAAAATTCAGATTTTCTAAAGAAAATTACGGTAGTTCAGAATTCAACCCATGTATGGCCTGTATAACACCAGGTATAGAGTTATAGTATACACTGCATGCATTTTTATTTAGCATTGAAGACATCTTGGATATTAAGTGTAGTAAATATTGAACCCACTACTGAATAAAGTAAGCTATAGCTATTTTTTTTTTTTAAATAAGTAGATTTTTTTACATCGTCAGCACTTTAATTTATTTGAAAATTAAACAATAATCAAACTCATAAGATGTCAAGGTAGATAATAGCGGGTTGGATCACCCCCTGGATTTTGATATCTTTGGTATGCCACCATCATCTACTACGGTTATTCACTCCACTGATGATGTAATTTAAACAATTCAAAATGAATTATGACATACCTCTTTTATATCTGTGGCAATCAATGGGAATATGGTATTTGGGGCTCACTGGTGGAGTCGCTGCCAGTAATAAGCCAGGGGGTTAAGTAATCTACTGGCATCTTCCTGGAAGTGAAATTTAAATACTGGATGGATTGATACTTTAGAGATTTTTAATTAATCAAAATGTTGTTAATAAACAAAACACATATTTTCTTCATATCCTAAAAGGTCCAGACTGGGTTCACAGGCCAGTTTTATCATGGCGGGAGGTCCACATAGCAGAATGAAGGTGTCATCAGCTGGTGGTGGTAGATGCTCTCGGATCATATTTGAATCAATTAAACCTTTACTGTATTCCCAATCTTAAAAAAATCAAAGTAAAAACAGACAATAGTAAATTAGTAATTGATAATATTTACAATGCCAAACAAATATGTCATATATACACATTTTCAGGCATGTTGTACTTCATGGCAGAGGATAAGTTCGCCTTTTAACTTTTATCTGCATTTACTATTTTTTGTTTAGGGAGCCTGGAAAGCATTGCATCAACGATCAGCAGATTGCTGGTCCCATACAGGACTCCTACAGGCCTGTCAGTGTATCTGTGTGTTCATAACTCGTATGGGCAAGCAGATACACACTGACAGGAAGACTCAATAAACTACCACATCGTTCATTGAGAACTACAAACCGGCAGCAACAAAGGCTGTTGGAACTTGTAGTTTTCTCATTTACAGTATACTATGAATGAGTGACTCCGCTGGGCGGGCAGAGCCCTGCACGACCACTTTTTTTAAAATTGCAACAGCTAGCGGGGGGAGAAGATCCGGGAATGGGGGGGGGGGTGCGGGGGCAAGTTCTTTCGTAACATGTTACACCATGAATATGGGTGTAACATGTAACGTGTTATTAAAGGTGAACTTATCCATTAAAATAAATCATGCACTTTCCATATGTACCTAATTTTGGACCCGACAACAAGACAGTAAAATTAATTTACCGTAAAGGGGTATTAAGCCCCAAACCAAAAATGTAATTTATTATTGCAGCTTACCAGATGTGTTGGCTGCATTAGTTTCCTTTCTTTTTAGGCTTTTTTCCTTCTTGTTTTTACCTGGTGATCTGGCCATTAACACACCTCTTGCATATTAGAGTTTCTACACTCTGGATTAAGGACCAAGAGACACACCTTTGAACAACGGCACTGTCAGTCAGGGGGGAGGGGAGTGTTAGATATACTAGCAGATTTACAGTAAATACACTAATAAATTGAAGCCAAACTCCAGTTAATAAGTTATAAGTATTTACAGCAACAGTTTTGTTCCTTTTGGGATAAGGCTTTGTTCACACTAGTGTGATTTCAGATGTGGCTTGGGTCCTTCAGAATTGCATGACAATGGAAATCACCTTGTTTTCAATGGTGGCCATTCACATCAATGCAACTCAGCACAGTGTGGTTTTGGAAAAGGTTCCTGTACTACTTTGGTGGGATTACAGCACGATTTTGGCCCCTTAGACATATCGACGTTGCATCCAAGTTGCACTACAAAATCACATGGAAAAATCTGATTGCAGCAGGGTGAACCTAGCCTAAAGGTTTTACATAAATAAATAAACTCTGAATGTTGTAAGCACCCCTGTCAGTGTTAAATGATTTGTCTTAGCCCTCCAACTGCTACATCTGCAGGACAGCCAGATCACCAGGTGAAAATAAAGGGAAAAAGAACTTAAAAAGAAAACTAATGCAGTCACCATATTTAAGGACTGGTAAGCTGCAATATACCGGTAATAAAAATTTGCTTTTGGGTTTAATACCACAATAATGAAAAACTGACTATCAGTGTAACACCTTGGGGTGAAGCAAGGGGAGACCTGGGCAAAAATACAAGCAGCTCCTCCGGGGTAGCTCTATACATGGTTGCTCGGTTCGGGATTTTCCCCTTGGAAGCCGCAGTGGTTGTTATAGGCAACGGAAGAGACTATCAGTGTTGTTGTCGGTGCTGAGGATTGCGAAGAGGCAATCGGAGTGCTGGGGAACTGTTGTGTCAAGTTGGAGAATGTCTGCTTTACAGTAATGGACACTGCTGAACAAAGGCATTTCCAAGTGGCCGCAGCTGAAGAGTTAATGTGTGGCATGAGAGTGTGATGTCTACTATGTAGTTGCCAGTGACAGAGCATTTTCAAGTGGTGGCAGTGAAAGGATCAACCTGCTGGAAGTACTTTCTCAACAGGAGGGGCAGTGGCAGAAGTGTCTGCCCATCAGGGAGAGCGGGTGGAGTTGGCACCCAAGGTTAGCCAATCCGGAGACGGGGCAGAGCTAAGCCACCATTTCTGGGTGTAGCCGAGGGAGAACCACGTGTGAGGAGTATCAAGATGCCGGAAGCAGGTACGCTTGCCGGTGCTGTCGCAAGTTGGTGAACATTCAGCATGGCTGACTGACACCGGAGTGTGTTTGATCCCCACGGGAGTCTGGCCTTGTGCAGCAGAGAAGACGAAGACTGCTTGGGACTGGTATGTGGCAGATGCCAGTGTGTAACCGTGAAGCTAAATGCATGGGGCCGGTGTGGTCATTGCAGAGACATGTTGCAGGATCGAGTGAATAGTGACTGCCAGCCTAAATTGCTACTAGTAAATTGGGAAACAGGGTCCAGCACAGAAGCACCACCTGCTGCAGCTGCCTACTCAGCTCTCAGGTGAGACAGTGAAGCTAGACAGATGCCACTGGGGCCAGGGCCAGTGGTGCATAGCCATATTACTATCTGACCAGGGAGACTAGCATTGTCTCTGTGTGAGACACCCATCCAGCTAAGGCTGAACAGTAGCAAGCTGTCTCAACAGCAGTTTCCATTAGTCACCCGCAAGTGTGGACCCAAGTCACAACTGCCTACAGAGTGCAAAGACAAGCATCTTCTGGCTCTTCAGGAGAGGAGGAGCCAGGAGCTATTAACATGGGGTCACCCAGGTTCCAGTACCACTATGGATCCCCAGAAGAATGGATAGGAGACTGGAAGCCAGTTAAGGAAACTGAGTGGGTCCATGAGATTACAGAGGAGAAGGGCTCTCAGTGTTTCGACATGTCTGATGAGGAGATAGAGGAAGATACTATTCTTGTTCAATGTACAAGAAACCTAGGATTCTGTGAGGCCTATGCAAACAGGAAGCCTGATCTGTTCCCTCCTAAGAGCTATGCTCGGGCTCAAGCACAGAATGAGGCCTACAGCATCCTTATTGCAAAGGCTACAACCCCAACTGCTCCACCTGGGAGAAGTGACATGCAAAGGTTGCCAAGAAACTCTCACCTCCAGCGCACTGTGCAGTGGAAAGTAGCCCTGGAGTATGGGTAGGACTATCCCTATGCACCAAGTTATGGAGGAAATAGAGTCCAAGAGTGATTCGTGGTGTGACAAAGAAGTATGGGACTTTATGTATATTCTCAATCTTTTCCTCAACAGATCTAAACCTTCACTCTGGGAGGAATTCCAATCCGTCAAGGAGAACTGGTGTCTGGGAAGGTATATTTTCATTGATAAAGTTGTGATCAAGCTGGCGGAGTTAAGTGTGGGCCAGCAATGTCTGGGGCCCTGATGGAAAAATGGTTCAGACACCACACCCAGATTTCTACTGTTAAGGAACATTGTTAGAAATCTATGCTCAAAAATTGTTGCAGTTACGATGAGAGGGCAAACCCTCTATTCCCAAATCTCCCCATCCCTTCTATCCATACAATTTGAAGAAGGGTCCATCTGGGGATTGTTGCTATTTTCAGGAAAAAAGGACTTCTACTATGAGGACGTCTTCTATCCCACACCCAGGACTACAACCTGGAGGGGTAAACCCCTGGCACTCAGAGAACTCTTTGCAAAGACATATGGCCAAATAGCCACTGCTTTCTTCAAGTCAAGTTTATGTGGGCTACTGTCATGGCAAAAAGGACAGCTGCTCATTTCTGCTCTGCTCAAGTGCAGGAGGAAAGACATTCTGCTAAAAGCTTATCTAGTTGTTTCAAGCTCAAGTTTTAACTGGACTGCAACTTAAAGGGGTAACTCCCTAGTTTTAAATACCTTTCTTTATCTTCATGTGACAAAGAGGAAGGGTACTTTGACTCATGCCTGGACATGCCATGCTGAAATAAGTTGGGATGAGTGATTACTGTGAGGCCGGGCAATGGCTTGCTACAAGAAAAAGTTTGCTCAAAGGAAATAAACCTTTGTGAAGTCTTTGTTCTTCAAGTTCTACATATAGAAACTAAACTGTTGCACAATGCAGGGGGCAGCCTTTGTTATTTTTCGGAAGATGTCCTCTGAGCTGTTGCCTAAGGGGCAGTTAATGGCTCATCAACAGGGACTTCCACAGAAAGTCACTTCCACACAGCAGGCGAAGGATCCCTTGCCAAGTTCTGTGGAATCCTGGCCTAGGGACAAAGGCCCTTTATTCCTAGTTCTTCTTTTGAAAGGGCACTTTGCGAAGATCTTCAATTCTTGGACACTTTGCGAAGATATTTGCTGTGAAATTGTTCTGCCCAGTGGGGGAAGGATCCCTAACTGAGTCCTTACTGCCACTTAAAGGATGTCCGTGACACTGCAGGAAGCGGTGTTGCAGTAAGTGCTGGGAGATCCAGGTTCCCAATCCTCTGTGGGAGTGCCATGGACTTTAGTCAGCAGAGTCTGGGCCTCAACTTTGAAAAAGGACTTTAAAGTTTGACGAGTCTATTTTTCATGACATGCTTACGTAGCCATATTAGTCAGGATGTCTACCTTTTATCTTTCAGGGAGTGTCAAGAGTTGCCCTTTGGGGGCCATCATTGTAGATTTTTGTCTGCTATGAGAATGTTAGAGCAGATTTCATTGTTGTCCTTTTTAGTGGGAGGGTCACCTCTTAGTGAGAGGATGCCTCCACATCTAGCTTGTAGAGTAGGATGCAAAATGTGTACCTATGTTTTCTTTTCTCTTTCCCTGCAGGACTGCGAGGAACTACTCTGCCTTGGCTGAAACACTCTACTGTAATATATTGTGCAGTACATTGCTGATACTGTCTAAAATTTGTTAGACTTGTTAAAGTGTAGTCAGGTATGTGTTTATTTCATCCCACCAATTACTTCAATTTTGGGGGGGGGGGGGTGCACACAAAAGTTGCACTTGATAGGGCTCCTGTGTATATACTTGTACAGCTGATACTTTATTTTTGCAATGCTAGTTTATTTGCCTTTATTGAGTCTGTACATATGTTGCTTCCGTTTTCCCCCTCCAAGTTTGTGGGATACTCTGCTTAGATTGTATACTGGGAGTGGTATTTACTTTCTTCAATGTCTTTTCCTGGAGAGAATTGCACCAAGCCAGGCTTGAGGCAGGCTTGCCTCACCTGGAACTTGCTGATGGCAACAAGTGGCATGGGCGGGCCTTGGGTGGGGGCCTGCAGTTAGAAAGAGTGACCCTGGTACTACAGTAAGCTGACTGAGGGGAACTGTCTGCCAAAGATTTGTCTGTTATCACTGGAGAGAGTTGCTTGGAAGATTGGAAGGAGGTTGCCATTCTTTTCTTGGAATTGTGAGTACAAACATTGAGAGATCTTGTGGACTCTGTGTGCTTTGCTACCCCTCTGGTGCTTGATAGTCAGCATATGTCTGTGAAAAAAAGGGAACACTGGCTGGTGTTCTGTAGAGCTTGTCCAACTATTGCTACTGCAAAGGACTTTGCTCAGTTCTATTACTTTTGGACTGCCACAGTCTGCTGTAACAGGCCTGTACCTGAGGAGCTCAGCCCTGCAACTACTACTACTGCTGTAGCTACTATTGCTGTAGCTAAAGCAGTAAAGACAGTATTTGGTTCTAAGGGCCTTTGGTGAGCCAACCGGTTTATATAATTTTAGGCTCTCTAAGCAGCAAGAAGTACCACTTCTCCTATTGTACTCCATATAATGTAGAATAATAGTACGAGTTCCAGAAGAGAGTAGTAGTATGGTGATAGAGGCACCGGAAAATGACACTTGCTTACCTTGATGAGCATTATCTACAGTAAACCAGAGTGTGAAACGCTCGGAGTGCTCGTTTTGTAGCTTGTCAAGGTCATGCCGCAGTATGATGTCTTGTTCTGACTGAAAAGAGAGAAACATTGTTTCAAGCTTTCTGACTCTTGCTGTTGTAGCTATGGATTTTTGTTCCATATATTTAGAGCCTAATTCCAGCCAAAACTTATTTTTATGTTTTGGAAGGAGTTGGGAATAGGTTTAAACCTCTGTCAAGTATTTGGTCCTGTGCCTGTATTGGGGTTTCAGTGGGATTACATATGTAAAAATGTAATTTCATTTACTCCAATGTCATCTTTTTATGGATTAGTCATAAGTGTAGATCCTACACCAGAATACAGGAGTAATAACTCTCATTTTCTCTGTTTCTCTGTTTAACCCAAGCTGAATCTGGTATTGCAGCACAACCATAATATACAGTGACTCTGTGTGAGAACTGTTATATATTTAATGGTTGTGCTTGATTGCAATTAGCATAAAATTCCACAGATTGTATTTTAGTGTTTGAAATAGTATTGAATAATTAATGTACAAAGAACATAGCATTTCAAAGACGTAATTGTTTTCACAATACCATTGTACTGCAAACAGCAGTCATAATTACAGAGGGTCACTTTTATCACATCTTTGTGTTATAAATACACTTTTCTCATGAACTGATTCTGCATAGATCTCCAGAATGGAATTCATATATTACAAAACATGCTTCTATTCTTACATAACAGCCCCTAGATGTTAACAATTGGTAATATAGCCATGTACCAGTAAATAGCTTTTTATGTTTTTACTATATTATTTACAATAATACATCTCTATAAGAAACCTACCAACCAACTAACCAAACTAACCAAAAAGCCAACTCACATCTTAAAACCAGCACTCTAACTAACCTTAGTGATGCCCATGTTTTACTGACTGGAGACATTGATGCTGTTATTGGTTAATGCTATGGATAAAGAGTTAACTATGGATCAACAAGATCTACACTACTGGTTTGCCTTTGCTGTGAGGAAGGAGCATTGGAGTATATGGTATCCTAATCGGGCAAAAGGTTGGACCTGCTCCTGCTTTAGCCTTTGACCACAACTGTCACAATCCCCTATTTTTACATCATGCAACACATAAGGATTATATTCATCCTCTCACTTATCTAAAGTACTCACTTTATTGGCAAACAATAAGAAACATTTTGTTTCATCTTCTGGGTCTTTTAGTATAGTTTGGATTAACTGCAGCATTGGAGTCAAGCCTGGAAAGTAACAAAGCACAGTTAAATAAAGTAAGCAAAAATCGATTATGTATATAAATCTGTTCATCTGTGCAAATATCATGTACTCACACTTCAATTCACGTGATGCATGGGATAAAGGGGACTTTACACTAAAATACAAGATCCACTTATGTGGCAACACCCCATCTATAAAACGTTAGATTAATGCAAAAAAAAAAGGGGCACGTAGGCTTATGTGACATTACTGGGTCTTTGTATAGAATCCTGTGAAAGCTGAAGATCCCAAATCTTGCACAGTGCTGGAATGTATTCTTGTAAGATTTGAGACCCCTTAGATTTTGCATTGAATTACCCAACAGCTTTCTATAGCTCTAGAAGGCTTCAGTGGGCCAATTTCCTCATTCTAGCTTATGTCTCACTTCATCCCACAAGACTAAATTAAAGGTGTCACTCTGTCATAGCTAGATTTCCCAGTTCTTTGCCTACTCTGCACTATAGAAAATCAACAGGGGAGCTGACTCTGTCATTTGGCTTTGTAATGGCCAGAATATTTGGGCAATGACAGAAATTGTTCTGGGAATGTCTTCCCATGTTTGGATATGAGTTAATGGCTAAACCAGACCAACCCAATTGTCTATTTTTTTCTGTTCATATGTGCTTATATCATAGTTGTTCATATGCCTTGCTTGAAAATGATCAAACCAGTTGGAACAGGATTACTGAGTACCAGCAGGTTTATTATAGAGGATTGACAATCAGGAAAAGAAACCTGTAGAAAATCTAGAACTGTAACCACTGGAATCAAAACAAAATGTTCTTTTGTTTTCTTTTCAAAATAGGTTCAAGGTCACTGGTACAATGGATTTGAGGTGAATCTCACTGCCCCAGTGAATTTATATACTTTATGTACTGGTAGTATTTACTGTATGTACTGCATGGCCTTTAAACTATGGCCAATAGGCGTAGAAGAGCCATTTAGCCTTAGAAGAGCCATTTCACTTTTCAATTAGCCAGCCCCCTCACTATAACAGGGGAAAGAGTTTATGATTGGATAGGAAACTGTACTTTCATTCTGATTGCTAGCTATTTGGGCAATCAACCCCTTCCCCTTTGCTTCCTTTTTTGTTTTTAGCATTAGGCTTTTTGTCTTTTATTTTATTTTGTCCATGATTTGAGGTCAGCTCTTCCTTAAAAAAAAGTTTTGATTTGGGGCAAGTTTTGCATTTTGCTGCAAGGTCTACCTTTGAAAAAAGTGGCCTTTTATTTCAGAGGTGGTATGTTAGGGGTTTAATTTTTGGGAGTTTTTTTTTTATTTTAATTTTATATTTTTTATATGTTATGTTGATAGAACCTTCTTTAGGTTGGGGTGGTCATTCACTTGTCACTGCCCATCTGTTCTTGGAGCTGCCTTTTGTATTCAGCATGCCATTCCATCGTGTACCTAAACCACCTTGCATTTTAATATAAATTTACATTCACTGCACTCCCCTATCTTTAAATAGGGATAGATAAAATAAAAAGTTAGGCATTCACCAGTTATGAAAAGAATAGGTGCTGTGGAAAATGCTCTCAGTCAAGCACCTTAATGAAGGTGCATCTTTATTGGGTGAGACAAAGCAGCAAATATAATAAATTTTGACCAGCCTAAAGTGAACAGTGTGACTCCAACGGACGAACCATCCGCTCTGAGATCGGAGAACGCTCCTGTCGACTTCAAATCATGTGGTGTCAGCGTCCCGGCATCATCACGGCGGGATGACGATACATATTTTTTTTGACATAGCTTCCATGTACCAGCGATGTCATTTTTAACTTAGAGTTCTCCCACGAGAAAGTTTTTCCTTTATTATTTTATTGTTTTAATATTTTATTATTACATTTATTTCTGCTAAAGATAAAAGTATATCATGTTTTCCAATAGTGTTCTTATACATATCACTCCATTAATTGGCATCACTTTCTATAATTTGCAATTTGTACTTTTAAATTTGTATTCATCATTGCTTCAGGACGAGTCGTCCGCTCTGATTGACACCCCATCCCCTGTTAGTTACACTCAGCCAGCCTTCCCTCTAATGGTCTTCTATATAATGGCCGCCGGCCAGGGTTACAAGAGACTTGACAAAGCGCAACTACGTGTAACATGTCGTCTTGGTAACCCTGCATACGCTCCCAGCTGAAGCCGACGCCGTGATGACGCCACCCGGGACGCCGGGACGCTGACACCACGTGATTTGAAGTAGAAAGGAGCGTTCTCCGATCTCAGCTCCCTTCAGAGCAGACGGGTCGTCTGTTGGTGTCACACTGTTCACTTCAGGCTGGTCAAATTTTATTATATTTGCTACTTTGTCTCACCCAATAAAAATGCACCTTCATTAAGGTGCTTGACTGAGAGCATTTTCCACAGCGCCTATTCTTTTCAGTTCTCTTCATCATGCAAATGATTAACAAGGTAGCAGTAGTGATCTCATGATTAACTGTGCACGTTTCCACCTGCAATGGCCTCCCTGTGCTCATTTGTACGTGTTTCCCATTCACCAGTTATACCTATTCTTGAATAAAACTGTCCTGCTGCTGGATAATTTTACTGCTGGATAGAATTGTACCATTTGCAGTCTACTTATTGTTTAAGTAAAACACACTGCCTTTACTCCATGTCTTTAGTGTATTTTGGTCTATTATCACTGATTACAATTGTCCTACTACTGAGCAATTTCACCCTGATATGTCCTCTGCAGTAGACTCTGCAGGTCCATCACTACTTCATAAAAAATACTTCTACTCAGTACAGTGTCCAGCTACAGCAGGATAATTCATGCAAGTGAACTAATGAGCCTGGCGAGGCTATGTGCATTTATATTAGCATTAGCACCACATGACCATCAATTGTATTCTATAACCCTCATCTACAGAGGGTATAGCTTCCCAGCATAAGAGGAAGTGATCTTTGTTGCCCTCTCATTATCTGTCAACGTGTTCTTAGACCACCCCTCATAACCTGTGTACTTAGTGGTTACATAGTTACATAGTTGTTGATGTTTTATAAAGAGAGTGTGTGTGTGTGTGTGTGTGTCACTACCAATCCCTGTATAATGTGTTTCTTTTCTAAAATTGTTATTAGATTTTCAATAGGAAAATAAAAATCCAATAAGTACACATTTTAGGAAAAAGCATACATGTGCATCGTTTTACAGTGTACATCAACGATTAAGCAAAAAGGGTAACATGTTATCAACACTATTTTCTACATAGTCCAAAAATCTGTAAACCTTATACTGTGAGGATATACGGATTTAGACCCAGGAATGCCCCCATGTCTGTCCTCAACTCCCTCCAGCTGGGGAAAGGGCAATGGGAGGGTGCCACATTGGTAATCGAAGAGGTCATGTCGTCCACTGTAGGATCAGTGAACGCAGGGGAGGGAGCATCATGAAAATCATGACAAGTACTGGAAGCCCACTCTATTCCCCTAAGATGTAGGTCTAGTTTGACTTATTCGATTACACCTCACAGCAAGTGTCCTGAGGGCCATATCAGAACCTAAAACCAAAAAGATAAGCAAAAGAAAAATTAGATATTAAAGAGGGAAGAGAGAGAAAAGAGAAGTGCTGCCAATCCTGTACATTGTGTTTGATAAGAAACACATCTAAAAGGTTTTTGAACTTATCTACACTCTCCAATGACACCAGCAACTGTGGAAGGGAGTTCCACATTCTTACTACCCTAACAATAAAGAACCCCTTACACAGCTTAAGATTGAACTGTTTCTAGTCCAACTTCATTGTGTAACAAAAAACAAGAGGCGAGCAAATGCCTAGTGCATTATCTTAAAGTACTTTATTCTAAAAACAATTAAAATTATACTCACAAGCCCAGTAGGTTGAAAACATGTGTACAGAAGCACAAAGTACATTCGTTTAAGGGGAAACTGGCCCCCTTCCTCAGAGTTAAGGCTTAGACCTGAAGAAGGGGTCCAGTTTCCCAAAAATGCATCAGCTGACTTTGTCATCCATTCATCTACTGGGATGAAATAGCGGACTTTGTGCTTTTGTACACATGCTTTCAGCCTACTGGGCTTGTAAGTACAATTTTAATTGTTTTTAGAATAAAGTGCCTTAAGATAATGCACTAGGCGTTTGCACCATTTTTGTTTTAGCATTGGATTTCCCAAATTCGAAAAGTGCTGCACCGCCTATCTTTCCAGTATGGGTTTCCTAACTTTGGTCCATTTGTGGTTTAGATGAGGGCCTTCATCGATCAGCGAGTTGCCCCTCTCTGCCAATCCCTTCATTGGCTTCCACTAACCCAACGTATAAAATTCAAAATACTAACCACAACATACAAAGCCATCCACAACACTGCCCCTAGCTACATCACCAACATCATCCGCAGATATTGTCCAAATTGCCCACTCCACTCCTCCCAAGACATCTTGCTCTTTAGCTCCCTTGTCACCTCCTCCCACGCTCGCCTCCAGGGCTTCTCCAGAGCCTCTCCCATCTCTGAAATTCACTAACACAGTATGTCTGGTCAACCTCCACCCTGTCTGCCTTTAGGCAAACTTTGAAAACTCATTTATTCAGGGAAGCCTACCCCACCTCCACCTAAGAACTGTACTTGAGCCACCTCCATCAGATCATCCCCTTAAGCTATCACCTTTTGTACCACCTCCCCCTTCCTTTAGATTGTAAGCTCCTCAAGCAGGGCCCTCCTATTCCTTCTGTACTGAAATGTATTGTAATGGTACTGTCTCCCTTTAGCGCTGCGCAAGTTGTTGGCACTATATAAATTCTGTATAATTATAATAATAATAATAATTTTTTTTTGAGTGCTAAAGTGTCAAGCTTTTGCTACTTTCTACTTTTCAACTTCATTGTATGGCTGCGTGACTTCTTTTGAGACATAAGATTAAAAAGTTTCCTCCCAATGTCGCTGTCATATCCCCTTTTAGGCATCACTTCTCCAGAGAGAATTAGTTTAATGTTTGCAGTCCTTTCTCATAAATGAGGTCCTCCAGC